AGAGAGAGAGAGAGAGAGAGAGAGAGACCTAAACTTTTGTTTTACCTTTATACCACCTAAATCTTTCATTTCAAATAAAAAAATATCACTATTTTAGCTTTTTAAAAATGAACGGCACCTTTTCAAGCATGATAAGGTGGTATATATATATATATATGTAAAAATTAAAGTATAGGTGTTAAATATGTATATACATAAGAATTAATTGGTATGCATGTATATCTTCTTTCTTAATTTTGTACTTCTCCTGTTTCCAGCTACTAGAGTATGCGAAGCTCAAGAAGAAAATTTCTTTCATGTCAGTGGCGTTCTTCGTGTGAGTTTAGGTTGTTTTGTATCTTTCACATAACAAAGCAGGAAGTGGTTCTGTTAATGTAGCTATTTTGAAAATTATGATGAACTTGTTTTACAACCTGACATGTCCGCTGAAAATCTCCTTGACAAAAAATTTAGATATTTTTCATATGTATGATTTTCACTACATTTGGAGCTAGGAATTTGAACCAGGCACGGAATGCATGGCATTCTGGTTGGTGGACTCTGAAGTTCTTCCTGTACTTGATGTCAATAATTGCTGCATATGTAATACCTGTGAATTTCATCCACATTTATGGTAATTTATTGCTTAGATTACTATGATCAATTTCTTTTGGCAATCTTTTATACATAGTCATGAAATATTAGGGATAATATAAGGAATACAAGTTAATTAGTATATTCAATGAGTAGCTCCCATTTATGTCCATTTAACTAATTTAACAAAATTTTTAAAGTACATTGTTATCCTTATTTCATTTATGTTATTTTGTACATGGTTTTTCGTTGTTTGGTTAGTTTGCTAAGATTTCAATAAAATGCTCTTTTAATATTGGCTTAATTGTTTATTTGATGACTTATTTGTATTCTTTTATTAATTTTATTCTCTTTTATGCTCTTAGGTGTTATTAAACTAAAAAAATATGTTGGAAATATGGAGCAAATATGTAGATGTATATATTAAATCCAACTTTATTATTTAAAGAGAAAAGTGTCAAAGTCATCCGACTCTTTGTAGGGGGGCCATTTTAGTCTCAAAGTTTATGAAAGTGTCAATTTAATTTCCGGGCTCTTTTAATAAGAGTTGAAATTGTCCCAACGAAGAATTATATCAGCCCTGATTTACAGAGTCCGGGGACTAATTTCACACTTTGTAGACCCTTGAGACTAAAATAGCTCCATCTAAACAGCAGAGGACTATTTTAGACACTTTACTTATTTTTTAATTAACATTGGAACTGTAGAAAATATTAAGATATATAGTATGCCAGTTTGAAAATAATACTATGATTGCATTTACATTTAGTGATAAAGATATATTTTTAAATCATTTGCATCTTATTGATATAAGGATTGATTAAAGCTCAATTGTGATTTAAACTTGATATGAAAATTAGTATAAATGGTTACAAAATTTTAAAACTTAGATCATGTTCAAACTTGACAAACTAATTAAGAAAATAAATAAACAAACTTGAACATAGTAGTAACTAGTAATCGACTCTGAGTCAATTTATTTATGGCCCCTTGTCTCTTGAAAGGGAAAAAAAATTTAGAACAACTTTATGATTCATTACAAATTTTTATTATAATGTATGAATTCACATAGACTTGTAAGTATTGTCTTCAACTTGCAACTTTTTCATTAATGTTTATTGTGAATTTGATTTCTTCTTACCTATTATATGGGGCAATCATTAAAAAAATCAGTTCGCTATACTTTACATTCCTGATATAATATGATTTTTGTGAAATTTTTTTCTGTTGTAGGTGAAGTCGCTCGTATGGGAGCAGGGTAATTTTGCCATATCTTCATCTAATAGCATTATCATTATCATTAATATCATCCCAAATATTTTATGTCGGTTTTGTAAATCCTTTTTTAATGTTCATTCATATTGAGTACGATCTGAATTGCTAACTCTATTGTTGCTAAGTTTTTTTGTACTAGTCATATCACTTGTAATTCCAATTTCTTGATTTCTATGTTTATATTATCCTCATTAGGTGTCACTCTGACAATTTTATTAGATTAATTTCTCAATCATCCATCTATCATCTCAACATTCTTAATTTTCTACGGGGCATTTACATACATACCACACAATTCTTATGTATTTACATTTCTGACATAATTTTTTTATATTTGTATGCAAAGCACTCAAAACTTTAGCATCGCTTAAAAAATGTCACTATTACCTACTTTTTAAAAGTGAAATACACCTTTTCATGCATGGGCTATTACACCAGTGTTATATATATATATATATGCACCGTGTTCCCAGGTCAATTGGTAGGCATTTGCTTCGTTAGTTGTAAATCCCCTCTGGTCTGGGGTTCAAATCACCCCCCCCCCCCCCCCCCAGGCGTCTGGGGGTGGTATCGAGTGGTTAGGTGCATGGGTCCAACCTAGACCTAACGGGTTGCGAGCTAGGGGTGGTTGGTGGTTCCACCCGTCAACCATCTTTCAATGAATATATATATATATATATATATAAAGTATAGGTGTTAGATATATACATAAGAATTGTGTGGTATGTATGTAAGTTTCCCTTTCCTCCTTCTAAACATAATGGCTACGGACTTTTTGTTTCCTAACTCCCAAATTCATAAATATCATCAATTCCCCGTAATATTCTCTTATCACGTAATATTATTGAGGCAATTTTCATTAACCCCAACCTTCAGCTTTGGAAGTTATCTAATTATCTGTCCATTTAACTAATTTAACAAAATTTTTAAAGTACATTGTTATCCTTATTTCATTTATGTTATTTTGTACATGGT